TTATTTTGACTGATTTCCTTTGCACTGGTGGATGAGATATGGTCTAGCTCAGCTAGACCTAAGGCAGTTTATTTTTAGGTCTTGATTTGTATGGCACTTGTTTTTTTATACTATTTAATTACACTGACGGTCAATTATCTTTAACTCGCGAGGTATTATTTAAAATGTACGGAGAAAATCACCAACACGGATTTCCGTTCTTATATCTATAATGTATATAGCATTCGATTTCTAATTACATCCTACTAATGTTATTAATACATATTCATGAGAATACAGCAAACTAAAACATCTATTACATTTTTAGTATGCTGAGGAATTAAATGTTGATTTCTGTTTGTTCCATATTGACGAATACGTTGAATATCAATCAAAACAGTGATAAATTTGCATCAATATAAATGATAAATTGATGTCAAAACACCAGGCTGTTATTTTGTAGGCGAAAATTGCGAATTCACTACATACGATAACCCTACACTGAACTTATTGAGATTGGTGATTAATTACGTTGAACTATTAAACTTTATGATAAGGGGAGTCACTTTATATTATTACGTGTTACCAAATTGTTGATAAACTGTGTTATTTAACCAAAATAATTATATTGTTAACGAACTGTCACGTTTCTCACAATGTGGGAAAGAATTTGATCAACAACTACCGAAAAAATCAAATTTCAGGCACGCATAACATAATATCGCTGTCGTTGTCAACATCCCTGTTGACGTAAATGTTATGTATGGAGGCGATAACATAAAATTCTTTAACGATAACTTAACTGCACTTAACTAAGAATCTATTTGGTATGGTAAGTTTGAAACAAAGAATGTAATGGGAAATATAATTAGTGTTATGGGCTGGCAGTGACATATTTTTGTTGTCGAGCTCAAGTGTAGCTTTCATCTCAGAAGGACATTCAAGCTCACGAACAAGCAAAATTTTAAGGTGCAGTTTTTGTGCCAAAATACGATTTTGGAGTTAATTTTGGCAGTGTTTTTTTTGTATCTTCCATTGGATAAAACCGCCTATTGATTTAGATTTCAGTATTTGCAAACAAAGTTATGAGCAAAATTTAAATTTGGAGATAATTAATCCGTTATTTCGCTATGCTTTAGGCTATTATTGAGTGAAGTCTTTCGACCGATAAAGATAATGACGATAGTCTACAAAAGTGTTAGAGTATCTACTATAAGCAGATAAAACTGTAGATCAGTCTTCTACTATGAAACCAGAATACGAATAACTTGTTTTTTTCTTATTTTCTGTTCGGAATCCGTTCACAAATTAAAATGATTTACGATCGAATTCTTAATATCCTAATTGCTTCAATTTTGATTTATTGAAACGGTACAAAAAATAAATTCTATTACGAATATAAATTAAAAAGTAATCGTTTATTTCTAACAGAATATTCTGTTACTTGGAATAGCTGTTTTATTGAATTGTAATTAAATGGTAAAAGTATAGACGGAGGTGCAAATATTGAAAGCACAAAATCTTTGCGAAAATGTAATGATATCCTTTTTGATAGACAGATGGGAATTTATATGCATTATGGAGAATTGTGAAAACAGTTGCTCGGCAGTCGTGTTTGTAACTTTACAAAGTGAAAGAAAAACAAAATGTACAAAAATTACCAAGCACACGGTTCATCTGGATGGAGTGATCATATCATTCTCACCCTATTCCACGCAACACCAAAGGAGACATGTATTAAAGCGATATTTTATAAGGGCATTGCCAGTATTTTATTATTTCTTATGTTTATTAAATCATTTTGTGCATTTGTATACTGTGTGGCCTATTTTCGCTCAAAATGACAAAATAAAACCAGCCAGCAATACTATTTTGAAGCATATCACTTCAGGGTTGACTGACGTTAGAGTCGTTGACCTGAATGAAGCACCATTGTTCCAACGTCATTGTTTCACCGCACTGCACCAGCAGACCATACGATTCAGAGAAATGGAATCGATTATACGAATCGATTAATTAGGTAACTGTTTCGAATGTGATGATGGACAATGAGCATTGATGTGAAGGTAAAATTCGTTTTAATTTGAGGTTTTAAGAGATTCTTTTACTTTCGTTTTTGCTAGACTATAATGTCCCACTGATGGGCAAAGGTCTTCCAATCTCGCTCCCGATCCCGATCTTTTGACCGTGTCCACCAGTCTCGACGATACGCGTCCTTGATCGTCATGCCATCTTTTCCGAGAGATTCTTATACCCTAAAATCAATTCTCTGGGTAGTTCTCAAAGTAAGACTAATTCAGCGAAGGTCTTGCTTGCAGTTATGACGTTAATGTTTTTGTACTTAGCCTTGAGGATATAAAAACAAATCATTAGACCTGTCCCATTCTGAGAATTGGGCAAAACAGTCCAAATTACACCACACCCATTTTTCTTTAACAAACATTAGCCCTAGAAGTGGTGCCTAAGCGCTACACCACGCCCAAACCTAGACAAAGGCCAGATGGTGTTAATAGGCTTTAACCCTCTTTCTATCAGACGGGTCCCAACAGCACCGATGCCCAGCCAGGGTTGCGGGCAAGCGCAAACGCAATACCGCGGCCTCAAGACTAGTCAATATGAGTCTGTGACTCTTTCTTAGCCCAAACTTGACGAGAGATGATGATGTTTTTCCCTCAAAAACATCCCTCTTTATATTCAATAATGGAAATATAATGCAAACAAGTTACCATAGAATACTCGATAATGATTAAAACGATACGTTTTCTCCGAAATTTGAGCCAGATTATGATATATGCCCACACCATTTTTACATAAATAAAAATTAAGCTTGATCCTAAATCAATTAATGAATTTTTTTTTATTATATTTCATTGGAAAGAGGACACTATTGTTTTTCTACTGAGCAAACCGTTCAATTGAACTTGACCACCAAGGCAGTAGAGCGTTCAAAGACGATTATTACAAACTAGATTAGTACAAGTGTCGATTACATCCAGGAACAGAAAAAAGTATAGAAACGACAACGTAACAAACAATTATTCAAGGACATGGCGTGCCAGTGAAATATTTAGAAGCACGCTAACGCAATCGATACACACGATGATATATTTAGTATTTAGTACAAATGTACTGGGTTGTGACGTCATTAGCTGATGCAGTTCTAGCCTCGGTATTGTGGGTTCGATTGGGCGTATTTACTAGTATTGTTTGTATTTGAGTATAAAAGTACATTAATATATTAATTAAACAAGGTTTTGTTTTAATAACCTTATGTTCTATAATTATCACACATTGTGCGAAAAAGGCGACTTTTTTCATCTTGGAAATTAAAATTGAAGACGATATTTTCCAGGTCATCAGTAATCCAGTGTGATGTAGGAGGAACCTTTTCCCATACATACACAGTGCATTTTTCGGGACCCTGGCTTGGTAGTACCACTTCCAAATTCCAATTATACGACCGTGCTCAGCCGACGTGGTCTTTCTGCTAATTTTGGAGATTTATAAAGTTTTAGGTCAGAACTCCAAAGATTCTTTAACAAGAAAGAAAAGGAATTTTTCTTATTATTTTACCACAGACCGTATACAGAACATCGACTAATATAATTTTCCTACTATAAAAGAGATTATTTTTCTCACTTCTCATGTTAATCGATTAATCATGATTAGGGTCGGTAATTAATGAAACTTGGAATTCCTCATGTGAGTATCGGAATTTGTTCTGACACTATAGCCTAATGATGACAAATTGGGAGCAGGGCTTTTACTTCTTTTGGGATAGAACTTGTATCAATTGTATTTAACCCTGTTTTTTTATTGAAAGCAAGAATATGTTTTGTTGTATATTTTTTCATGTAATATAAAGCAAAACGAGCAGACGGATCACCTTTTGGTAAGTGATCAACGCCGCCCATGGATAACCGCAACACCAGAGGAATCACAGGCACGTCCTGTACGTTGCTGTCCTGTTAAGAAAGACCACCTTCGTTTGTTGAAGGTTTTAAGTTTACATTTGTAATTTCGTTCTTCATCATCATGAATATATAAATTGGTGTATGGCAGATCGGAGCTAAAGATTTAGGTGTATAAAAAGGTACTCTCTTTTCTTAAATATTGTCAGTCATCTTAAAACGAATTGTAAACTGTCATCACCACAATGTTTTCTCCGTATCCCTACATCATCAATATTTTCACATTTCGCTTGTACCAAAGAACATAAAAGATTAAACAGTCTATCATACTAAATATCTAACATAATCAAGTAAATACCTACCTACGTAGGTATACCTAAAAAACATTTTTTAAAAACTGATTACGTGGTCTCGGGGGTGCGGCGCGAAAGTAAATTAAATGTAAATTTTGCCAGTTATTAAAAAAAAACTCCAAGGTCGCTCGTAATTTCCTAAAAACAACAGCCTGGGTAACGAATACATAGATATAGCTAATATAAGCTAACATTTTATACCGATACATGTACATATTATACAATGACTAGTATACAAATAGCCATAAGGATACAAATTTTCGAGGAATTAATTCACGTTGATTTGAATAGAACAACAAATTCACTTATATTTTTCACAGACTTTCTAGTAATTTCTGTGATATCGAATTTCTTCTCTTACTTTTTAATTACGTATCTACTTACTCAGAAAAACGTTTCCATTAATATCAAATTGATATAGCTACTTCAAACGTTTTTAGTAATTACAATTTTCATAATATACCAAATTTTTGTTAATTAAAATGTTAGCACACTCGATAATTAACTCCAGATGAGAGCTATATTAACTTTTAAACGTTTTATGAAATGTTCGAAATTCAAATTGAAAATATTAAATTAAATCCAAGTTTAGTTCGCTTCACTAGAACCGCAGACAAAATAATGGGGATAAAATTGTGTATCTGTGGTGGACATGACCGGCCACCGCACTCGTATGTGTATCCGAATTAGTGTTTTCGCGGGAACGATTTCACAATATGGCGTCCGATTATCGAGTTATTCGTATTGTAATATCGATATGTATCGATATGATGGCTACCGACGGTGTACTGGCATGGCTGAGGGTCGACAGGGCGATGCTATTAAAAGCATGGGACTAGTGAGGCTTAAAACCTCCGTCACGATGCAGCCAGCCCGTGAAAAAAGGTCTGATGGGCGTAATAACCCAGATACCTATTATGTATTGGCGATGATATAAATATAATGAGCGTCTCTGGTTGTTTGTTTACGCGGTAACAATACCTATATATTATGTTAAATCTTTGCCAGACTTATGGGCTCAAGTTGAGAGCTAAGTGATGCGTTCGAAGAATTTTAAGTAGGTTGCTTAAAGCGGAGTGTTGTCAGGTCTTTTATTTGGATAATTGAGTAGATAATACGTCGATATGAATAGACATGATTACTCGAAGAGTGGAGAAACAAAATATTATTTGTTAAGAAAAGCCTGGAGCAAAGGTCCTGAAGAGGCTCGCATAGTTCCACGTTTGTGCAGCTCAGAAAACAACAAAATTACTAACGATAATTACTAGAAGTATTTACGCTATTATACTTAGCCAAACTCTCTGCATAATACAATTACCGGTGACTGCGTCATAGGTTAAGATGCTTACCTGCAAACAAAGAAAAAACTTCATAAATAAAACATACATATAAGCTAAAAACATCTTTATAATGAGTTTTTGTGCTAATATTATTAAGCTAGAGCTAATTGCATTGCATCTAAAACATTTGTTTTCAGACGTTTGGGCAAAACCGCAGTTCAGAGTCAGTCTAATAACAGGCGCCCACTTTAGCCTTCATTTAAATTTGGTTAATCGATAGCTAACACGAGTTGATTAACCTGATAGACTAAACTCAAACCACGGATTCACTTGCGTATTTTATGCTTATTAAAGAAGTACATAAGTTAAGCGATTCGTAAAAAAATACCTAATACCACTTACGTATGCTGTATTTCCATTTGTATAAATATACCATAGTCATTAAATTCGTCTCTATTGACTCAAAACTCGAATTTCAGATATTTGTCATCAAATATTTAAAAAGCAAAAACCCAACCGTCATTTACTGTTTAATGAAAACATTTAACCCTTCCAGGGACAACCCTTTTAATTTCGTCACAAGTTCGCTATTTTAACCGGGTGTACGCCGATCATAAAGGCGGCATCACACCGCGACAACCACCCGGATTTATCCCCGGATATCCGGCGTCACGTCCGTCGGGAAATAACTTGGGAAGTAGGACGCAATATGCGTGGTTTTTGCTACTCAACTTTGACGCATAAATATGTATATATCCTTTTCAAATCTGTAGGTTTTGTGAAGCATCTGTATAATCCTTGATAACGTGATAAATAGCAATTAAATTTTCAAACAAAGAGAGTCTATTTGCTGTTGTAAGAAAAAATGCGTGAATGAACTAACAAAATGTGCCTATACATACCCAGTCTTAAACTATTTAAATGGTTATGCAAAACCATAGAAAGAAAGCTGCATCATTATAAAGAAAATTAGTCATAAAACTATAACGATGCACTCACAATCTTCATTGCATTCTAATTGGCCGTGTTTAATATTTTCAATACCAATAAGATCATGAAGTTTGAAATCTTTTCAACTGAGTTAAGCGCCGCTTTCACCAAAGACTAATTGCCTTTAAAGTGGATTTCTGCGAGCAATCTGCAGCGGCTAACGAAGCCGGTAGCCTGATATTTAATAGAATTAAACAATTAATTTTATATGTCGAGGTAAATAAACAATTTTATTTCGTAATGATGAAGTTTACATAGTTTTACTTTTTAATATATAAATCTTTTAGGATTTTTTCCTGCGCAATCAACATGGCTACTGAAGTAACTGAGGGGAAGTAGCACTCAGTACTTTACGAACTGGAAAGAGATGAGTAAACAAATTTTTGAAATGTGACCTCCTTTTTCAAATTCCTATGATATTCTGGTCGAAAGCAAAGTGTTTAGTTCGATTAATCGTTCGTCTGTCTACTGCATTATCCGCCAATAAAGCTAGGTGCTCATTCCAAAGAATGGATTCGTATGGAGAAGAAAGAGTAAGAACTCCATTGTTACTCTTCAAATATATCAATATCTACTTTTCTCTACCTAGATAACAATCCCTGCTACACCTGGATAACGATCACCTACAAGCACTCGATCTAATGGCGGTCTCCAAAAATTGATTATAAACATACTCGATTGAATTTTTCTCGAGTCCAAAGTGTGACGAGTGGGATTTCGTTCGACTCGAGACAATCGATACGTGTCGATTCCATTGCTCGTTTTCATTGTTCTATTTTAATTGCGATTTGAGTCTCAGTAAAATGAGGTTCAATATAATTCTTTGTTTACTGTTACTGAATTTGGGTTGTAAAAGCGTACTGATGCCGATTGCATTGTAAGATTTATTGATAGTAAAACATTACAGTTTTTCGAGAACATTAATTAAAATAAAATTTTATTGTGTGTGTTATATTAACGATCAGTTGTATAGAGTAAGGTTTTATTTTTACACAGAAAATAGTGAAAATCTCTCTAAATTTATTTAATTTTATTGTGCTCTGTGTTTCCTCACCATTTAAGCAGTTTCCCAGTCAAAATTCGCCATTTCTACAAGAAACTAGCACAGATGTTATCCAACCATTAACTAGGATCAATTGCCATCAGTCCTTTGTCACGACAGCAAAAGGGAACCGTTAAGTCTATGAGTCGGGATATCACAATTGCACGAATCGTCCATTAGTAAATCATTCTCTGGAAATGGCTTTGCTATGAGTTCATTGTCATTTTATATATTAACCTGAACACGTGATAAATAATCGTCTACAAATAGACACATTTTCGTCCATAACATCACCAGCCTATAATTACTTACTGCTGAGCAAAGGCCTCTTCTCACTCGGAGAAGGAATGTGAATGCAATGCCCTTTAAGACAAATATTACTTAATATTTTATGATATTGTACTATATTACTACCTATTAATAATTATTTCTTGAGCTTCGATCAATACTTACTAGTTCTTTAACAATACTTTTTCTTTGAGCACAAAAAAATAAATATGTACCTGAATCACCATAACCTTTCAAGCTACAATATGATTCATAAAAAATCCCTCGTCACACCTTTTTAGGTCTCCTGAGATTCAAAACGGGTCCTAACCTAGTTTTCTTTAAAAGAATCTGGGATAGGCTTTCAGTGGGTAGCGGTTGAGGCCTTAGGCTCTGACCCGTTCTACTTGGAATATGGCTCAAGTGAGATGTGACAGAGATGCATACAAATATCACAGGTTTCGAAAAGTAAAGAGGTTTATATCACTCTCCTGTATTTACAACGAATTACACAACCTTTCCCAAATATATGGAATCTACAAAATTCATAATTTAATAAGGATTTTATATTACTTGGAATAATATTACTAGGTAAAAAAGTGAGTATAATTTGTGCTTAAATCTTTTAATAGAATTATAAAGAAACGACCTCTAAAAATAACTGTATCAGAAAAATATAATTAAAGCAACATTAATACGAAATCAATACAAAATATTTTTATCGCAATAAAAATAAAATAGCTTTACGGAAACCATGAATAAAATCTACATACAAAGATATCTCTTGAAATGGACTTGAAAATTTACAATTCCGAGCCTTTCGTATGCAGAGAGAAAACATCAAAACCAAGCTTTGAAAATGATAAATAGCTTTTGGAAAGTTTGAAAACTTTACAAGATTTCCTGCTTTATCAAAAAGCGGAAAAGTGGTGGGTAAGAGTCAATATAAAACGGGGCGAAGCGCTGTCGGGATTCGGGATATCGAGTTCCCCGGTGGCTCAGCTATTACGATGAATAATGTACCTTGGAGGGTGGGCACACATTATTAGTCTCGAATGCAACATGAATATAGATGGAAGTGTAAACAATTTAGAGGTGGGATGGAAGTTTATTACTTTTGTATTAAAGGACGGGCCTTTTAAATAATAACCTAGAACCAAGTTTAAATTGATATATAGAAAAATAGCTAAGGTTAATCAAAAACCATTTTCTAGATTCTATTAACACAGCACTTCACTAAAACAAAAGAACTTTTCGCCGGGCTCATCAATCATATCAAAGACCATTTTATTGTAGACTAGACTGCCCATTTCCAGGTTCTTTTAAATATCCATCCAAAATTGTCTGAAAGAAGTTACCCTGTGTGATAAGACCGCCCATTGTAAACTCCGTAGTTGTAAGCCTGCTCTATGTAAAATTTTTAATAATGTGTACAATAAAGTAAATATAAATATATAAATAAAGACCTCATTAAGTAATAGGAACCATCCCACCAAAATTACATGGGTTACCTTACCTAATACAATTCAAAAAAGTTAGCTATCTAAGTACGCATTACTTGTCTAACAAAAGATTTTAATCCTTCTAATAACGTCGTCTTATCCTCTTCAATATCCTGTTCTTTACCTCAGCGATTATGTAAGATGTCCTTACAAGGGCGCGGCCCAATGCCGGAACTAGCTGCGGGTTTAGAACGACCGTCGACGTTTACCTACATTGATTTTCTAACTTACATTTTAAACTATAAAAACGTCTGCATACTTATGTAATTTTAAATATGTTAAGGTTCTTTCTTTTTTTATTCTAACAAGAGATTTTCTTTTACGATTTTTTTTTTTTTTAAAACAGTGATTATGCATTTCTTTCCCCTTCTTCTAATTGTTGCTTCCTGTGGTTGCCAAGCGTGGATATGAGACAAAAGCGGACCCCCTATGAAAACCTATTGAAAGTATAAATATTTCTAATAGTAGTCTAACAGTCTACATTTAGAAATATTTGTGTTAAATTATAAACAGCATAAAAACTTTGGCAACCATTTTTAAAACATCCAAGTATTATATATTCTAACCTCTTTTGTTGTTGTTGTTGATATATCCCTACACGGAGAATCATCTTATCCCTTAAATTACTGGAACGTAAGACCCGCCTCTCATTATCAGAGTGAACAGGCGCTACCGGGTCATTAACCTGCCCATATCTTCGAAACAGGGAGGAATCACCTGCCTCGCGAAGAATGCCTTTGTTCCACCATTTTCAAGTACCAACATTATCCTCTTATAAGGAAATATAAAGAAATTCATCGAAGTTTTTACAAGTTTCCGTAGGCCTGTTTGTTTGGGTATTATCGTAATTTATCTTTTTTATAGGCGGTAAAAAAGGTTTAATGGTTATTTGTTTTTACGAATCAGCATATCTTTTCGGCATCAAAAGCTAAAGAAAGTAGTGCCCAGGCGAAATTCAAGGAGTTTTTCAATAACCACTATATTTAGGTAAAATAAAAAAAGGATTTCACACAAAACAAAACAGATAAAACACAAGTACCTATCTAGTTAAAATAGACCACCATATACTAACCTTTGTGCGTATAAAAGTATGTGAAAAAAATATTTCTAAAAAAAGGTTCTAATAGAAATTCCTTCCCATACCACATCCCAGGTAAAGGATACAAGTAAAAAGGAATTCTTATAAAACTTTCGAGTATTTAGGAATCTAAATTCTATGTTAAGCATATCCTTAGGTAGCTCATCAGAATTGTAATAACCTAAATCTTAGTACTTAGGGTATTAGGTATAAAATTGTCTGTCCTCGATTGAGGTCTATTTTTAGAACAAACATATGGAGAATAAATTGAATTAGTCCGTAATAAGAACGAGTGCTCGCTCAGTAGCCGAAATTCGACCGCAATTTATTTAATTAACTAGGCGGTCTCTACAGTTTTTCCTGTTTGGTCTTTCGTATTTTACACAACAAGTATATACTTAATTGACATTTACAGGATTGCATAAGAATTGAAATGGTTCTCAAATTCAAGGCAATTCCAGTTTGTTGATCAATATTTCCTAAATAGGAGTTATACTTGCAATAAGGGTGTCTACTAAACTTAAAATTATTGTCTTTTCATTTTTATAGTTAAGATGTGTGTAAAAAGTCAAGTAATTGATAGGATACTAATCATTTTATTAATAGCAAACAACAATACATTGATGTAATGTAATACAAAAGGCCTGGCTTCACCACCTTCCTAAAAGAGCCCTTATGTTGCAAATTTATAATAACAATTAACATTATATTACAGACATTGCGAAATAAGCCATGATAGTATTACAAACACGATTGGAATAAAACAAATGCATAAAAAGCTTCTAAAGTACCTACTCAGTCTAGCAAATCACACAAGCGCACTTCAGGTAAAGTGCACTAAAGTATCTGAGGAAAACTATTATGTAGGTACTTGTATGTATATGTGTCTAGTCTAGAATCTAGAACAGACGAGTTAAAACTACCACCTGCAAACATTTCTCCCAACCATCGCATCGCCGCTGAACTAAAATGTAACATATGTTCAGATTGTACCGGCTCTCGAGTGAGGAGATTAAATGTACGGTGTAAGTTGGAGCGGGAGCGACAAGCTGATTTTACAGCGTTTTTGCTTTAGGATAATTTACAATTGCAACACTTATTAGGTTCATATTTTCGATGGGAATTTTAACTGTCTTCGAATTTAGCCATAAAACTGTAACAAAACTTGAATTTAAACTGTTTTGAAAGCGAATTTAGCTTACAATGTCCACAGTGCACAATTTCACCGCTATCGAATAACTAACCGGTGTATAAATTGTTGTCTGGAAGAAGTTATACATCTCTGCACTACCAAAAGGATGATTGGCAGAAAATGCGTTTAGCTTTTAGTTCTCAGATAAATGTTATCTGACGAATAAAATTATTGTCTTATACAAACATTCTGACGCGACAGCACCATATCATAATTATTCCCCAGGTATCTTTTATCTAACCATTGAAAAATCAGCCCTATTGTAAAGAATAAATAAGTTAATAAATTACATGCGCGATAAGACTGCTCAATATACACTCTGTTCTATCGTTATCTATTTTGTGTAGTGTAAAATTAATAAAATAAACAGCATCGATACGTTTCACTCTGTAACTGGGCCCACACTGCATTTTACTAGCAAGATGTGTTGGGTGTTCTTTAATAAAGTTTGCGACGAGCACACGACCGTCTCCGGTCCGGTGGGCAAACTGTCCGGGTGTACCCGGGTGCATCTATTTACACGACCGGACCGGCTCGTGTGGAATATTAAGGTTTTGATGT